ACCACTGTTAAAAGCAAACCTCAATACAATGGCTTACTAAGTCATTGCTTATAATTTAAGCTACTCAGGCCACCTCAGTGGTGAAACAGAATTTACTTCCTTCCATGAGCAAAGCAGTGCAAAGGGAGATCAGTAATTCATGAAGTCGCAGTGACTCAAGGGCTTCTGACTGTCAGCCCATACCCATAATTTCACTGTATAACTGAGAACACGGTAACAATTCTCACCACAGGCTGACTTAGAAGCCACTTGCTTCAACAGTTTAAAAATCCTCAGTGCAAATACTTTTTTTTGAGTAATAAAGCATATTTTTCTATGTACAGAAGGATATTTTAGTAAGTACACCTCGTAAATATCAAGCAGCCATCGTTTCCCCGAGCACAAACAGAAAAAATTTTCCCCTGTTGCCAAAAATTAATTCAGAATGACACATCAAGACATTAAACTCACTTACCGAGTTCCAAACAACGCCAGCAGGTCCTCGCTTCCAGGTCCTTGTTAAAAACAGTGTGACCTTTGGCAGGTTTGCTCTTCTATTTTCCAAGCCATGACAGCCTTGCTCTGGGTCAGCACATCCACTTATTGATGCCCCCTCCTGTATTTAGTTGGCATCTTCTGCTCTTTCTTTTAAGTGTTGTTGTGAAATCACCTGATCCTGGAATGCTGAAAGACCAGGACGTTTCTGTTTCAAGGATCTCAGGTCTGGCAGCTGAATTATTTTGCTCCAGGTCTTGTAAACTGGAGGATAGTGAGAAAAAAAATAATGTTAGATGTGAATGCAAGGCTTATCAAATCAGTTTGGTGATTACTTCTAGAATCAAATTGGTTCTTAAAATATTTACCTCTGATTTAGCAGGTTTCAGGCCACAACGCAGGATGCCATAATACAAGATTTACCCATGCTCAAACAGATTAATCCACTTTACAGAAGATGCATCATCCCCAAATTAAATCATTAAAAGTCCAAATTGCAGTTACTCGTCCAGAATTCTTTTTATAGTCCACAGAAAAAAAATATATAAAATTGTTATATCCAGAGAAGTGATTCATCCCACAAGAAGAACCAGAGGGAGGTCAGATTAATTACCCATCAGAGATACCCGTGGCTGAAAACACAGCCTAGGGTGAGCAATTCGGATTTATCTAGCAAGAATTTCAATGCACAAGTTAAGAAAGGTGAATCCAGTTTATCATTTCTGGATGCCATAATTGGCCTTTTGCAAACTATATGTTAATTTTCCTCATTATCCTCAGATATCCCATCACTTACTGGTAAGTAGCAGGGTTGGACAGAGAGAGGCAAGGCGGGAGAAATGGTATCCATGCAAAAATGATCCCACATTTCACAAAATTCCCATTAAATGATGATAAGCTGGTGTTGAAAAATCTTCTTTAGCTATAATGAGGCTACCCTGAAGCCTGTATCAAATGAGTGAACGATATATTAGGCTGCTATTGAATGATCCATCCTATAGTGCTATATAGCACCCAACCAGAAGGGTCCTGAGCTCAGACACCACGTACCAAACTCACCTCAGTTGGGCACAAGAGCTGAATTTATTTCCACTTTGTTCTAATTTCAGCGCTTCAGGTTTGCCAGGTAAAAAAAAAAAACCCAAGTACCAAGGTTTTTGTATTTACCTAAAAACTCTGCCAGTGACTTGAAAGCATTTGGAAAAGGAAAAGCAACTGGTAAAAATATGCAGGTTGATGTCCAATTAACTGTTTGCTTTTGAAAAGGAACGCTTGAAGTAACCCCAAGGTGAGTTCATTGGGTTATGAGGGCATGCTGCTGAGGTATATAAATAGAAATTTCCCTCATGATTTAAATAAAACAGAGCAGTTGTTACAATAAAGGTTAGAAAGGCTTTAAATGCCTTTGGCAGCTTGCACAGCACGCTCAGTCCTTGTAAACAATGACTACACGATATTCTCTTGCTGGAAATAAACATCTAATCCACAGTTTTTTAAGAAATAATCAAGGCTTTTTGGATAACTCTAGTGAGCATCTCGCTGTGATGAAAAAAATGCTGTACTTCCATTTTTTAATTAAAAAAGGTAATGGCCAAGATGCATCAGATTGAAAGGCCCTTCAGTTTCAGGCAGGACAAACAGATGGGAAATGGGTAATGGCAATATAATTGCCATTATAACCAGGCTGAGAGAGTTGGGGCTGTTCAGCCTGGAGAAGAGAAGGCTCCAGGGAGATCTTACAGCGGCCTCCCAGTACCTGAAGGGGCTACAAGAAAGCTGGGGAAGGACTTTTCATAAGGGCAGTTAATGACAAAACAAGGGGAAATGGGTTGAAGCTGAAAGAGGGGAGGTTGAGATGAGATATGAGGAAGAAGTTCTTCACTGTGAGGGTGGTCAGACACTGGAACAGGTTGCCCAAGGAAGTTGTAGATGCCCCCTCTCTGGAAGTGTTCTTTGCCAGGTTGGATGAGGCTTTGAACAACCTGGTCTAGTGGAAGGTGTCCCTGCTGATGGCAGGGGGGGTGGAACTGGATGATCTTTAAGGTCCCTTCCAACCCAAACCATTCTGTGATTCTATAATGCTTTCTCTAGGTGGCCTTCCTCTGCGTGTGTGCTCCCCTGTGCAGCTCGCAGGGCAGTACTCATCCGGAACAGATTTGAGTCACTGCAGCAAGAGGACAAAGGAACAAACACCACTTGGAACACAGTCTAGCTTAATATTTAATATATCCAGTCCCAGCACACACCAAAAAAAAAAACTCCCCCAAAAACCAAAATAACTCCAGCCCCTCCCTGCCCTTCAGCCCACTGAGTAGAAGTTACTTATTAAAAAGAAGGGTTTTTTACTTGTAGTAGCTTAAAGGTTAATTTTTCAACCAGAGTGGAAGCAACTCGTCAGACAGGTGGCAGCTGAACCATGGAACAGACTGTACTTTGTTCTTGAAAGTTGGGAGTAAACATGGACTATTTAATCCAGCATGTGGTCCTCCATTGAAACAAGAAGCCCAGGTAGTGACTGATGCTCTTTCCCCCAAAAAGATCTCAAAAGCAAACAGAAGAGGCTTCAGTGAAGCAGCCAGGAATGCAAAGGTTGCTCACACATTAGCAACTAGTTTAGCAAAGATAAGATATGGAAGAAAGAAGATGTTGATGACCTGAACAGCAAGACTCAGCAGCAACAATGAGAGACACACTAAACTCATGGGTTGGGATGCAGGTTTCTTGTTCTTAATCCTGCCAAAGCCTCCTGTGTCCCTGCAGTTACCAGCAAGAGGATTCACAGAAATGTAAAGGGCTTCACACTACAAACACCTTTTAGCACTTGATTGTAGGTCTTGATGCTGAAGAACTTTATTAATTATGAGCAGAACTAACATAGCAGGATTATCTTGATTATGTTTTGAATTTAGAGGCTCTTTCACACAGGCAATAGCAGGAAGTTGCTTGTCATCTCTTTCATTTCTCATTTTAACTTCACAACTAAAAGGACTTGAGAATGTCCTCACCTCCCTCCCAAACCAAAGCCTTTCTGCTGTCTCCTTAGTTGATAGTTAAATATTCAAGAAAAGGTACCAAAAAGAGTAGAGCAAGTGCTCAGAAAACCCTGATCACTGCAAATTCTGTTCTCAAGGAATATAAACCATAATTCAAGGTTTGCTTTAAATGATGTACTGATGTGCCCTGCTCATTTAATATCTGCAGCTAGCCACTTCCTTTTTACTAAAACACCCTATTTCCTCCAACCCACCCCTGAAGCAGGTTGGTTATTGGACAGAAAGATCGACAGAGCCAACCTGGAGCTCAGCAAAACCCCCTGCTCTGCTCAGGTGTGGTGGTTCTGAACAACATACAGCTCCAGCCACGCAGTCCCGCTAACACTGGAGAGCACTGAACTGTAGGACTTGGGTCTTCAAAGTGATTTTAACTTGAAGCAAACACACATATTTAAAAAAAAACAAAGACTACAAGAGAAACCAGGTTAAAAAGAACCATCTTACCAAGAAGATGGACAATCTATTAGCCCTTGGCAAACCAGACAACCACTGAACACAAAACAACGAGCTGTACAAAACCAAAAAGAGATGGCGAAGAGATTTCAGGGCTTTCTGCCCTTTTATTCTTCTCCTGATCCAACATGTCTTCTGATCTCATTTGAGAAAGCTTCAAGGTCAGCCTTGAATTCATCACAGCCACGAATTCATCTCTGGTATGTGCAAAATTCAAACAAATTTACATAAAGAGATAAAATTGCAAAGGTAAAAACAAAACTAAAGGCCTGGATCATGGGTTAAAATATTTCTTCTGAGTCCAAGAGACTACAGTTTGGGTCTATTTGAAAACATATTCCAAATTTTTCAAACAAGCTACAGTCTTTTTTGACTGATAAAAAGGTTTATTTGTCGAGGAAAGCTTAAGGAGGATCCTTCTGGTGAACACTTTGTTTTTTCCTTTCCAGCACACTCCCATTTGCTGACAGACTCCTTCACACAATGACTTTCTGTATCTCCTCCACGTGTCACTCTTCCCCATGGTTACTAGCTTTTTGAACAGCAAAAACTACCTTGACTCTGATCCTGCCTTTGACATGGAAGTGGTATCTGTTCAAAAGAAGTTTGAGCTCAGAGACACACAGGAAAGGTATTTAAAAAGTCTATAAATAGTAGGCTGAATGTGTTAGGGATCTACTTCCAGGCTGTGTTACAAACTCAGGTGTCCAAGTCACCATCCTCAGTCACCTATATCAAAGCAGGGACAGTTAGACTCCAGCAAAAGGAGGCATCTTCTTCATGACTTTGAAAAAAGGCTGCACTATCCCTTTCCAAGCAAGTTTTCCCTGGTTAAGGAAGACCCAAGATCAACTGCTTTGTCTACAACCCAAAACACACTGAAATGATATTTGCAAAAAGCCTTTGGGATGGGAAGAGAACAAAGAAAAGGAAGACATTTCTGAAATTATCAATGCCACAGAACTTGGCTTTACGTATCCGGGCTGAAACAGTTTTGTTTTGTAGGTACAGCATCTTTTGCTGTGGATTTTCTACCTAGACATCACAATGCTGACTCCAGACAAGCAACCTGACAGAATCCAGTCCAATCCCTAGCCATGAATGTGGATAGGTAGTCTTGGGTGGCTGGATGGAGGATGGCCACGGACTCAGGGAAGTTCTTGGAAAATGGTCCATTTTCAAACCAGTGTTCATAGCTGATCTTGGGTCTGCTTTGGAGATGGAGCTGTTGCCACAACCACAGTGGAAACTGCTTTAGTGGAGCCAGACACTGTTCCCTGTTGGAGGTGGGAGGCTGGTACTGTTTGAATTCGCACCTGTTTTGAAAGGGAAAGAAAAAAAAGCTCAGCTCATGTCAAGAGCAACCTGGTGACAACATTGCACTTGCATCACACTCTGAAGTGCTGGTAAATTATCTGCTTCTGCTGCCAACAAAAATTCAGTTACATGAACAAGACCAAGCACCGAAACACATCAAGAACAGAACCTGTCACAAGAAGATCATTACCTCCACTGTTCACGTGGGATGGCGGGAAGAAATCTCAAGATGAGAGAGAAGACCTAAAAAGTAGTTTGAATAAAAACCTACACATCAGCTGCTTTTACAACTTTTCAGAAGAAGGATTTGGATCCATTGGACACTTTGCTTCTACAGACTTGCTACTAGCAGCTCTCAATGCAGATTAACCCTTTGGAATTACAGAGCACTAAGTTTCCAAACAGAAAGATGGATATGCAAAGAAGTGACGTGATTTCTTCAAGACATGGTGACCCACAGAAACCAAAGTACAAAGCACTACAAAAAAAAAGCCAAGTGTAGAGAAACAATCCTTCAAGCAGTTGGGAATATTTCCTCATAGGATTTTTGGCTTTACATTCATTATACTACCAGTGCTTCAAAAACATTTTAAAACTGTATCTGGAAGGAGGGAAGGTGAAGTAGATGATGCACTGCACGTCCTGAATAGTGACACTACCGCCAAGCTGTGTATGGAACCTCATGCATCAAGTGTAAAGTCCTCAGGGAGATGTTAAGTCAACAAAAAACAACTAACAACACAATTCTAGGTGCCGTTACCTGCGTGGCCTGGCCTTGCTGCTGCAGCTGCTGTAATTGTTGTGCAGTCAAAAAACTCACTGGCTTGTTCCCAGCGATCAGTTTTGTCCCTGCTGGCATCGTAGTCAGGATGATATTTCTACCTAATCCACTGATGCTAAGGAAAAAGAATTGTGGCAAGGTTAGTAAACAGCACAGCAGGCTCTGTCTTTCACACTCACAAATCATTCTTCAGCTGCTAGGACATTAAAGTCACTTATCTAATTTACTAATGATTTCAAGTAGTGGGTTTTTTTTTTCCTCACCAAACTGGCAAATACACAAGTGACAAATCTATGTCAGTATTTATCACTATGATAAAGAATTACTTTTCTCACACGAATTAAACCCTTTAATTCTGGACTCTGCACATCAGTGGGTTAAGTCTAATCAGACCTGAACACTTCTCAAGGAATGCAGAAAATAACCAAGCACAGAGTGTTCTTCCCTGAAATATTAACTAAGGGAGACACTAACAGAATTCATGGAAGAAGAAATAAAAAGACTTCAATATCTGAATGCCAGAGGAATTGGCACTGAGGCAGTTAACAGTTCCTTAGTGCCTTTAATGGAGAGATGGCCTCAAATTACCCGTTTTTAGGTATGTCACCAGATGAATTCTTGCTCAAACACACACAGCTCATCTAATAGCTGCTTTCAAGGCAAAGAATGTTTTTTAATTCAGGGTATTTGGTAGAAGCTACACCTCAGGGCACCTAAACAAAGATTATATTTTCATTGCCAGACACCATATTAATTCAGTTCCTTGCAGTTAATGGACCTATTAACGGACTGCAAGTCTACTCCACCCCATGGTTTGCTAGGTCCTCAGGAACCTACTGAACACAGACCTTCCTCAGCCTCTTTCTAAAGCAAAACTACCAAATGTGAAGTACTCACTTGGCCCCGAGGTTGCCCTTGATGATGGGAGCAGTCACCACACTCTTGCCTTTCACTGGCTGGCTGATCACTGACAGAGGCACTGTTATTCGTGCTGGTAGTTTACCCTAAAGAAGTTGGAGAACACATGAAGAACCGCGGGGAGTTCAGCAGAGAAACTGCTTGACAACAGGCAATTAATTACCACTCAGCTTGGTTTTTAGGAGTCTCGGGAGTAGAAACCAACAGCAGCTTTGCTGATGAAATCTGTGCTCCATTTCAGGCTCATTAAAATTCACTCCATCTCATTCACTTCACAGCTGCCTGAGCCCTGAAAACCCACATCATCTTTGCACCACAGGATTTCTCTGGGACGGATCATTGCATCCATCCATGATTTTTATCCTTAGAAAGCTATGGTAATGTTAATTAGCCTATTCAGCTTTCACAGTACAGTTTATGGTGCTTTCAGCTTCGGGCATTAAAATTGCAATAAACGGGGAAGTTGGTAAAAAGTTAATACATAAAAAGCATAAATGACACCATTCCAAGAGAAATTATTTCAGGGGTGTGGGGCAAGATGCTGAGATGCACAAGGTAGGACTGTAGATTAGCAAAGTTTATTTCATTCACTCGCAACAGGAGGTAAGGGAAGACATATCTGACTGTTTTCTGGTTATTTCAGCATTTAGCTACAATTTTAGCTACATGAAATTAGCTGCAGACCCACATCCTACAGTAACAGTAATTAATTGGAGCCTTTGTGGATGTAAAGAGACATTTTCAGACATCAGTGTATTTCAGCATTCCCCTTTCTCACCCACCCTCCAGAAAAAGGTTGGCATTACTTACTGCCTGGGATGTAGATACCACAGTGGTGCTGACAGGGACCTGCCGGACAGCAGTGGCTCCTGTGCCTATAGTTATGGGAGTCCCAGCAGCTCCTGAGGCCACAGCAACTGCTTTTGACACCGTGGCACTCACAGTTGGTAAGGAAACTGCTGAGGTATGGACTGTGCCGGGCACACTCACCGCTGAGGAAGAGGGCACTTGTTTAGCATGAGTAGCTACTGTAATAGTCTGTCCAGCTTTGGGTGGCATCACCCCCAGTCCCTGCACGATTCTTATAGTAGCAGCAGGTTTGGCCTCAGTGGATGCCACTGTAGTTATGGTTTTGCTCTTCTGATCTGCTACAGTCATGCCCAGAGCAGGCATCAGTCGGAAAGCAGAGCTTGTTGGCTCAGCAGTTTTTAAGTCAGGAGTCACTTTAACCACTGTGCTTCCAGCTGGGCTGGAAGAAGCAGATGTGGCCGTGCTAGTCTTGGCTGGAGAATCAGCAGTCTGGACAGGATTGGATGTCACGTGCAAAGTTGCAGAGATGCCTTTCCCACTAGCACTGCTTCCCGCAGCTGCTGTGAAGAGATCCTGAGTCAGTTTGACAGTAGTGACTTGAGATTTGGCCAGAGTGGCCATCATATCCGGGGTGATACGCAGCACAGTCTGTCCCTTGGCATCTGTGGTGATAGAGGACGGGGGCAGGCGCAACACATCCTTCCCTTGGATCCGAAAATTAGTCGCTGTGAGCGGGATGCCACTTCCAGGTTGGGTCTTCATGCCAAGTTGCCCTGTAATAGCCACCTGGAAGAGACCAGAGAAATGGCTGTATCAAACCAGGACACAATCAAAGCCAAACTTCCCAACAGGATGTTTGCTCCCACCAGAACTGAAGCAGCCTGGTAATTATTCTTTTTGTCTTACAGCTCGTGAGTTCAATGGACTTTTTACTGTAACACACAATTTAATGCTGCCACATAAAGAGGCAACAGGGAGGAAAAAAGGAGCACTGAACAGTATTATTTACACCCAACTCATCACACTACTGAAAACAGACTTAGTTGCACATCAGGTGGTATTCCCAAAACCATATAAAATATGAAATACTGTGGAGCTGCTTTTATAAGCAAGATGAATGAAAACGAGATCAACACCTGAAGATAGTTAACGTTGGACTGACAAATCTTTTACCTGTATGTGAAAATGGGGCTCAAATACACCAAACCAGCAGCTGCCTAAATCTGTACGGCCAATAACTCACACAGCATTATGGTTCACCACAGTTTTCACTCTCTTTTCACATCTGCATATTGTGTTTGTCACCACACACAGGAAACAACTGGATCATGGAACCCAATTCCTTGTCTCTCCCTCTCTCTCTCACCTGCTTGATGATATTCTGACCAGCTACGTTCTGGATGACAGTGGTAGAGGAGGTACTTGAAGCAGAACTGCCTGGAGAGCTGGTTACTGGCTTTACAGCAGGGCTGGGTGCTGCAGACAGTCCTGTCACAGTGATGCCTGTCTGTCCTGTCACAGAGCTTCCTGGTCTTTGCACTTGCACTGGGCTGGTTTGAGTTTTTACTGGCAGAGTCATCACAGCCTACAGAAAGATGCAGAGGCAGCCTATGAGCAGATTAATGCAATATTAACAGACTAGTAATTAGTCTTTTTGTCTCATGCCTTAGAGCTTGCAGGTTCAATGGACTTTTTACTGCAATGCACAATGGTGCTGCATAAATAGGCAATAGGGAGGAAAAAAGGAGCACTGAACAGTATTATTTATGCACAATCACAGAATCACAGAACGTCAGGGATTGG